ATACAGAAATGAATAACTTGAGAAAAATCTAAAAAATTGACACTATTATGTGTCAAAATACTAACTAAATTTAACTATTCCATTAGATAACGAAGAGGTGTAAATGTTTGGCGCTCCGAACCAACACAAGATATTGCAGCAATGAGCTTGAGATTGATCACCATGTAATGGATCATGGAAAGAGATTAGACGCTGGCAGAAGTAAGGTGGATACCTACCTCCTAAAAGGCAGGTAAATGTTTGTGAAGCCGGTAGCTGATTACAATTTGTTTTGTAGCCCCCGGTCATATTTCTAGGATCTTTAATTGTGAAAGCGACTTTATACATTTGTTTGTTTGTTTTTTTTATAAGAGTAATGATTAAGAAATTAGTAAAGTTAGTTTGTTAGCAGTTGGGATTTCTCAAAATGGTGAACATTCCACCCCTTATATAAGGGGTGCAGCCATTAAGTCGCAAGTTGGTGGAGTTCACGACAATGGCAGAACTCGAAGTCCTGACCTCCACCTCACCCAAACCCTAAGACTTAGGGACCAACCATTGGGCCTTAGACCCGGTTGGATATATATTTGTAGTGTAATGGGTTTGAAGTATTTTTTTGTACTCTATTAATATAACAATTTTTTTTTTTTGACACGGGGCGGGTTTGAAACCCGCCCAGAAGAAGGGGGAATGCATCTAACAAGCTGACTAATACCAGTGGGCCTCTAGGCTCAGGTGCAACAAATATTTTATTCGTTGAACAAAAGCAAAAGAAAAAAAGGGGTAACCCTGTTTTAGCGATAACTTGCACAGCACCATTAAAATTCTGAAGTTGACTCCCTTCCTAGATTAAAGTTTTCATATCTATAAGGGAGCCACTTGCCTATTACGCTTTAATTGACCTTAATTGACCTTCCTCGTTTGAAAAGATCTCAAGCCGTAATATTAGTAGAAAAATCAAGGATACGATTTCTTTCCAACAAACTAAGTTTCCCATAATTTCAACCCATCTAAGGCAATTTAGGATCGCCGCACTTTTACAGTTGTCTCTGCTAGTCACTTCAACACCACCCTTCGTTCATTCATTCATTTTCAACATAGGAGATTTTGGGGGAAAGAAATTTTTTTTAAGTCGCAGATGAAAATCAAATTTTTAACCAATTATATCTAAACAGTTAAAATTTAAAAATAAATTATTAAATTTAAAGATTCTATTCAACATTACCATTTATTTAATGAGGAGAAACAGAGTAATTTGGAAGCTTTTAATAGTCATGGCCATTAGCCAAGTTATGATCACTTCGCTTCCCAATCCTTAGAACCTCTTCTGCCGCTACGGTGCGGTAGTCATCTCACATTCTTGTGCCATAGCCAACCATCCCTATCCTTTGGGGTGAACATAGTTCGGTTTTAATTATAATTAAAACCAAACCAGTAGTTAATTAAATTTTTGTTATTAATTTTTAATAATTATTAACCAAATCAAAATTATTAGTTTTTTAAGTTTTTGGTTAATTTTTTTTTTAAATAACCATTTGATTTAGTTTTGGTTTGAATTGAAAAATTAAATTTACCAATATTTGGAGTGAGAATGGGCGAGAAAAGAAGGGAGGACCTAAAAAAAACCATAGAGCATTAAATTTAAAAATAATATTAATAAAGGCCCAAAATATTTGAAAATAGATTGGAAGGCCCAAAAATTATTAATTTTTAAAAAGAATAGAAAAGTCCAAAAAATTTCAATTACACGCAACCTACTATTAGGTTTTCGGTTTTTAGACCATAATAACCAAAACTCACTAGATTGCGTCTTAATTACAACAGAATGTGAGCTAAAAAAACGAAAACAAACACAACCTATCACTTACAGTTTTAGATGATTTCAAGTGTTTTTTTTTTTTTTTTTTTTT